CACCTCGTAACCAAGATCAACGAGTACAATCCTATATTCTAAAACAAGCGCGTGTACGTACAAACTTTAAAAAATAAGATTTTAGACAGTTTCTTGAAAAAATTTTAAAATTATTATTGTGTAAAAATGTACGACATAGTTAATAAATATTTTTAATCCTTTACATTTTAGTTACATTATTGATAGCTGATAAACAAGATAAAATCAATCGTTGAATGTAAAAAAGTAAATAAAATATAGCGTTCATATATGTAATGCATGTATTGTAGAATGGTCATGGAAATTTCAAAATATTGATTCCTATTTCTATTGAGTTTGAACGCTGCAAATAGACTTCACATTGTCAAACTTGAAGTCTGCTTTGATGTGTTTCTATGTTTGGTGCGCTTGAGTGCGCTGCTGTCGATCAAATGGTTTTCTCTTATTTTAGGATAACATTTTCAGTGTGTTTTACTGCTTTGGTAATAATACCAAAGGCATAGTAGTTACTAAGATTAAATCTTCCGTTTTTCTTTCAGTTGTAAAATTTATGTAAGTTAATAAATTATAAACACAGTTTTAAAATGTAGGTAGCCGATCAAAAATTACAAAATAATCTAAATTAAGTTAATCTATTTGAAAAAAAAAACATCATCATATTCGTATCCTTCGAGTTTTATAAGAAAACATAATGAAGAGGTAATAGTTTTCTCAGAATGGCGTACAGACGAGACGAGATTCGTACGGAAAATGAAACGCAAATACAAAGCGGGTTCACAAATTGTTTACATTGATGCTCCAATAACATTATCATTGGGGTAGGCCGGTTGTCATGGATACGACGGGTGAAAGGTTTTAGAAATATCTTTTAAGGGTTCAAGGTTGAACACTTTCGACGCAATAACCCGGGTTGAAATTGTGCGGTTACCTCATTTCCAATTTTGAAATTATTCTCTCTTATTTGCGATCCTGTAAAGAGTTTTATATATTAGATTGAGGTGGTATTTGACTTAACGTTTTACAGACGATTTCAGTCGATTGTTGTCAGTCGTACCGATCTACTGGTAAAACAATTTGACATAATTTATTGTTTGATAAAGAGTTACAGAGAAAATTGCCAATACAGAAACCTATGTGAATGTAAAATAGTTCTGAGTCCTATTGCGATAAGGAGGAGTTGACAAGGGATCTTGATAACACTATTTATTTGGTTTAATACAATAAGTATTACTTTAACAGGTTGAGTTAATTTTGAATCAGTTTAGTTCAAGACACTGTATTACTAAATCCAAAAACATAATACTTATTGGACATGGAATTTAATTTTAGCTAATTCACTTCTAATTACCTTATCTGATATGTTTTGATCTAAGAACCTTCGGTGAAGGTTTTCATTTGAATGATTGATTATTAAGATATGACTTAAAACACGCTGCTAAATCACGAACAACCTAAATTGTTCAAAATTTGGAGTGATTTATCATTATAATTTTTTTTTTTTTTTATCGCAACAGTAACAATCGACTTCACTAACCTAACCTAACCTCTAATAAAGAATTGTCATAACAGGAAACCCCATCTGATATAAAGATATTTCGTTGGACAAATAGATTAACAATTATTTTAATTAAAGAAAACTGTTAATTCCTGTAGTTCATAGCCCTTTACAGTGATGGGAGACAACGATTGTTTCTGTGTAAGATTATCCTAAGACAACAGTTTGTATTCTCTTGTTTCACCTGAGAATCATCGGTCGATGTAATTAGACTTAATTGTCTGTAATTGCTCGATAATTACGATTAGTTTTGCGAGTTGTTTTGCCGTACTGTCATTTCACCCTAATAGCGTTACGCTTACTTGAATAACAATGAAGACTTGTACAGGTAATGTTGATTTTCTTGCAACGTTAGCATTACTGTATATTGCTGTATAAATACACTGTACATGTATTTATGCTGAGTTGTAAGTATTAGAATGTATATATATTTCCATTGTACGCTAATTTCTACGAAATAAAACCAGATTCTCTTTTAATTTTTGTAAGTTTTCCAGTATTATTTGACAATATATTTTTTTAATTAAGTCAAATAATCAGTTAATCTTGGTTACGAGGCCATTAAAGGCAAATAGCAATGATAGCACACAACTTTATTGTTATATATTCTAACGTTAACTGAACGAAACGTAAAAATTCAGTTGCAAAGTCATGTATTATTTATTGTATGTAGATATGAGGTTATTAAGAAACATACATTTTCAAAGTCGACGAATTTTTTTCTCTTGAAGTGGCTTAATTCCTACAACCGTACGCAACCTACAATGCTAAACCTTTGCTTCAGATCTTTTTACCGCAATGGGCCTATTTCCAATTCCTGATTGGCAGGAGGTCGGTCAATATGCTACATTATTCAAACGCAGGTCAATATATTGACCTACACCAGTCATTGACCTCCTAGGTCAATAGGCCATTCACTAGTGGTTCGATCAATTTATTGATATTATCTTCGTACGGTGTTATTACACGAGAACCAAAAAAATATTCAAAGCTCTCTCCATTTTAAAGTTGTATTCTAATATTATTCTTAATCTGACCTTTCACTTACAACTGAACTACGACAAGGACATACTGTATTAACGGACGCGGTTAGGTCAAAGATGAGTAAGAAGTGAGAGGGCAGACTCGTCATGGAATGAAACCTGTTTCTTCGGCCAGGACCAATTGTTGAGGATTGAATGATAAAGACAGCCTCACTTTTTGAAACTATAAAACACGCTTTAGACCTTCAGATTGATTAATTAACTTCTTGAAAACATCATGCAATTTTGTGAATATACAATATTTAAATTTTATAAGGTTTATGCCTTTAATGCAAGAATCTAAGTTGGTATACATGTAACCAAGCATAGTGTGATAAACTGAAGTGTTCAATGATATCAGGTAGGCAGCGAGGGAGTCATTAGTTGTAAGGAGATTCCTATGATCTCATTACACCTTAGACAATATGTTGCTCCTCTGTCTCATGACTTGATCATAACTGTGTAGCTGCACTATACATATAACAAGCATAATATGATAAACTGAAGTGTTCAATGATATCAGGTAGGCAGCGAGGGAGTCATTAGTTGTAAGGAGATTCCTATGATCTCATTACACCTTAGACAATATGATGCTCCTCTGTCTCAATATGCCGTGATCATCGCTGTGTATCATGTATCATGTAACAAGCATAGTGTGATAAACTGAATGTCTCATGTCGTGATCGTCACTGTATAACTATAGCTCGGCCGCTTAGAAAACGACCTGCGCGCTAATGCTAAACCAAAGCTGGAGGAGGTCGTTTTCTAAGCGGCCGAACTATACACTGTACACGTAACAAGCATAATATGATAAACTGAAGTGTTCAATGATATCAGGTAGGCAGCGAGGGAGTCATTAGTTGTAAGGAGATTCCTATGATCTCATTACACCTTGTTGCTCCTCTGTCTCATGTCGTGATCATAACTGTGTAACTACACTGTACATGTAACAAGCATAATATGATAAACTGAAGTGTTCAATGATATCAGGTAGGCAGCGAGGGAGTCATTAGTTGTAAGGAGATTCCTATGATCTCATTACACCTTAGACAATATGTTGCTCCTCTGTCTCATGACTTGATCATAACTGTGTAGCTGCACTATACATATAACAAGCATAATATGATAAACTGAAGTGTTCAATGATATCAGGTAGGCAGCGAGGGAGTTATTAGTTGTAAGGAGATTCCTATGATCTCATTACACCTTAGACAATATGATGCTCCTCTGTCTCAATATGCCGTGATCATCACTGTGTATCATGTATCATGTAACAAGCATAGTGTGATAAACTGAATGTCTCATGTCGTGATCGTCACTGTATTACTATAGCTCGGCCGCTTAGAAAACGACCTGCGCGCTAATGCTAAACCAATGCTGGAGGAGGTCGTTTTCTAAGCGGCCGAACTATACACTGTACACGTAACAAGCATAATATGATAAACTGAAGTGTTCAATGATATCAGGTAGGCAGCGAGGGAGTCATTAGTTGTAAGGAGATTCCTATGATCTCATTACACCTTGTTGCTCCTCTGTCTCATGTCGTGATCATAACTGTGTAACTACACTGTACATGTAACAAGCATAATATGATAAACTGAAGTGTTCAATGATATCAGGTAGGCAGCAAGGGAGTCATTAGTTGTAAGGAGATTCCTATGATCTCATTACACCTTAGACAATATGTTGCTCCTCTGTCTCAATATGCCGTGATCATCACTGTGTATCATGTATCATGTAACAAGCATAGTGTGATAAACTGAAGTGTTCAATGATATCAGGTAGGCAGCGAGGGAGTCACTAGTTGTAAGGAGACTCCTATGATCTCATTACACCTTAGACAATATCAATATGTTGTTCCTCTGTCTCAATATGTCGTGATCATAACTGTGTAGCTACACTATATATGTAACAAGCATAGTGTGATAAACTGAAGTGTTCTATGATATCAGGTTGGTAGTGAGGGAGTCATTAGTTGTAAGGAGATTCCTATCATCTCATTACACCTTAGACAATATGTAGCTTCTCTGTCTAGCTATATGTCGCTATCATTCCTGTGTAACTACACTATACATTTAACAAGCATTTTTATGGTTATGCATTTTCAATTCTTTAAAATTAGACTACGTTACGACCTATAACCATTAGAACTATTATCAAAGCATAAAAAAAAAGAACTTGCGATAATTGAGCAATAAATAATTATACATACAGGCATATATACAGCTTTACAATGAATTGTTATTAATGTGCACAATGAATATTTTACATGAGTACATAATTCCCAAGGATTACATACAGCTGTTCCCGAACATACCTACCACAGTCATATGCCATAACCTACATTGCCAATAATTACTGCTTTTAATTGGCCAAGTGCAAACATTACACCACATGGCACACAATAACCTAATGACACATTCACGATTAACACACCTAAAATATGTTACATTACCATCTGCATTGTGTTACATAGGTAAAATTCACGCATACCGTGAATCAAAGATAAATTAGGAGTTTCAACATTGGTTCTAGTTTCGTTATGTGTTAAATTTCTATGTTTATGTTTTCGAAATGTTGTGTTCGTTCCGTGACGGATGGGTTGACATCGGAGGAGTGCCAAGTCACGTATTGACCTGGGGAGGTTGGATTGACGATCCTCTGCCACCGGGAGGGACAGTGTTACTCTTCATGTGCGGAGTTCCAGGATTAACTTTCTTCTACAAAACGTTTCTAGAAGAACTCTACAACCGTCTCAAGATACCCGTTTGGACTATTTGCATCGCAGGGCATGAGCTCCCACCACGCCACAGTGGACTGTCCCTAACCAAGAGCAAGAGCAGATACGATAACGTAAGAGCACAAGCTACTCACAAAAAGGAGTTTGTCAACAAGTACTTACCACCTGACAAAAAAGTTATTTTGGTTGGACACTCTTTCGGAGGTAAAATGGTGTTGGAGCTTTTGAAAGACGAAGAGTTGGAGAATCGAACCGAGAAGTGCTTCTTGTTGATGCCGACGATCGAGAGGTTCGCTGATTTGCCTAGAGCTAGGTTCTGGCTGAAAATATGCAATTTGGGGATAATTTATTTGATAGTGCTGTTTGTCTGGTTGTTATCTTTGCTGCCGTTGTCTTGGCGCAGGAAGTACGCGCTGTGGTATTTCCACTCCAGAGGATTCAAGAACGTGGACGAACACTGTGTGGACGCTATGGCTGAGCTTAGTGGCAACACTGAACTTTTCAATAACGTCAGAGCTTTGGTGTATGACGAGTTGGAAGCGGTGAAAGAACTCGATGTTGGAGTTTTGAGAAAGATAAGTGACAGGACTAAGGTATTCTTCGCCATGAACGATTACTGGGCTCCGCTGACTCATTATCACTCACTAAAGGTAGCCGTGCCACGACTGGAGGTTGAGATATTGGACAGCGAGTTCAAACATGCATTCTCTGTTACAACTCCTCACAATATGGCGGACATTATAGTTGGTGAGCTCCATATTGATCATATACAAGTGTGTAATTAGGGATAAATTCATGATTAAACTAGGAATAGTATGGTTAGCCTGTCTTGTTTTGATGACTGTGTTGAAAGTGCCAATTACTGTACAGAGGGGTGCGAAGTAGGTATAAAAAAGTTGTAGTGTTGGTGTAAAAGAACAGCAGTTTGAATCGTTTTTAGAACCTTTTAAATGATCGGACGTCCAAAACAATAACCTCAAACTGTGTGTTACCTGGGATGTCTTGAGACACCGTCATTTACAAATTTGAATTTAAGTGAAAAGTTAACTACAGTACTATCAACCAACTACATATTATGTTAACCTACTTTTGCACCTTTTTAGAACCATTGTTAATTCATATGTCATTAGTAAAATAATAAAAGCGGTATTAGCCTAGTTTGAAGTTCTACACCACCAGTTAAAACTCAGTGGATTCGTGTTTATCCTAAACTGGATCCAGATATTTTAGATCATTGGGTTTGGTTTTGATGGTCCAGAAACAGCTGATGGTCTAAAATCATGAAGATGTGCAAGACATCGCTCTTCACACATCCTTCACTCATGTTAAGGTTGAATAGAAATACCTCCTACCTCCAGTTATGTCTCCATCTAAATTGGGAGTAATAATAATGAAAAATCTTACCGGAATAAACAGCATGGCAATTATTTATAGTCTCCTTCTCCTATCACTAGCTAAGCCTAAGATCCATATTTTTGAACTTTATCAGCAATCAGCACACTTCCAAAAGTTAGAACGGCAGAACGCGCAGCAAACAGAATGCCTTCCTTTCATCTTACATGGTTGTATCTCATCAGTGTTTAGTGATTTACCATCTAAAACCAGGGCCGGATTTAGCATTTTTGCGCCCCTAGGCCCAAATAATCTTCCGCCCCCTAGTCTGGTCACAGTTACTTTCCTTCAAACCTTTATTAAAAACTATATCATGCCCATAGGCCTAAGTTATTTGCTTGAATACCACTCCTCGTTGGAATCATTGCAAGTTTTTTTTTTTTAGAATTGACTTGTTTAGCCTTAACAAAATCCCGTCTTAAACACTTTTAGCAATTTTATGATTTTTTTAATAATTGCTCACGTTTGTGGCGTGGGGGTGGGACTGAAACAAAACAACTGAACCCACTGAGCATTCCTGCAAAAAAACATGGCCATTGATTCCAATTATTCCAGGCCCGAAAGCATGAACTCCATACAGTACGTGACACCATAGATTAAACATACGTACTCCTTTAGTAGATTTGTCATCATTTTGGATTAGCTGAAAACAATTCTTGTTATTTAAAGGGGATGTTTATCTGTTTAAATCTAGTTTAATCAAAATAAAACGATCTAATCATCAACAATAGGTCGTCTCCTGTTTATATTACAAGAAATTAAAACACACATCATAGAACTAACCCTAAAATAATAGAAACAAAATTACGTCACAGATGTGCATAAAATTGAATCAGGTGTACCACAAGGCAGTGTTCTTGGACCTATTTTGTATATTTTGTTCACTTATGACCTTCCAAGTACTCAGGGTATTACGGTTGCAACATTTGCAGACGACACTGCTTTTTTATCATCAAATCAGGATCCTATTCTGGCATCATCAAACCTTCAGGCTGCATTAGACGATTTGTCTCAGTGGCTACAGAATTGGAAAATTAAAGTAAATGAAACAAAATCCTTTCAAGTTACATTTACTATGTCTACAAGAACTTGTCCCCCAGTAACATCGAATAATGTCATGCTTCCACAATCCAACGAAGTTAAGTACCTTGGTATGCATCTCGACAGACGGCTTACATGGCATTCACACATTTGGAACAAACGACTTCATTTAAATTTAAAAACAAACAAACTAAATTGGCTCATTGGTCGAAATTCAAAATTATCTGTTGAAAATAAATTACTTTTATACAAAATTATATTGAAACCTATGTGGACCTACGGTATCCAACTCTGGGGAACCACTTCCAACTCAAACATAGAAAATAGTTCAAAGGTTTCAATCAAAAACACTGAGAAAAATTTTAAAAGCACCTTGGTTTGTCACAAATAAAGTAATTCATCAAGATACAAAACTACCCTATGTTAAAGAAGAAATAAAGAAACGAAGTGAAAAATACCAAAGAAAATTAGAAACCCATCCAAATTTCCTGGCAGTTAACCTCCTCGACAATAGTGAAGCTACATATAGGCTCAAAAGAGTTAATCCAATAGACCTTCCAAATCGTTTTTAGTTTAACTTTTTAAAAGTTTTTGTATGTTAGTGCACTTGATGGAGTGTAACTAACCCATGTTAAAATGGTTATTAAATTTACTTATTATTCTAGTATAGAATAGATTGTAAATAAAAAAATAAAATAAAAAACTAGCGTCCAGTGTCACAACATGAACTACACATGGAAAAATTTTGAATTGACAATGTTATGAGAAGCCGACTTGAGTTATATTTAATCCATGGTCGTATTGCATCTAGGTTATATTTCCAAAGCAAAACAGAGCAATATTCCGGCCAACCGTACCGATCCTTAGGCCTGAGGAGAAAATGACAGCATTAATGGTTCTTTGGAGGTATTGATTTTTTCTAAAATTGAATGCAAACTGAGATTAATATTTTTTCGTTAATTTTAAAGGTAAATTCATTGTTGTTTTAATATTCAACAAAACTTAGCCTATGATATACTTTAACTTGATCCTGCAGATAGTTGTAAACTAATCAAAAGATTAGTTAATAAATAACTTTGTTTTGTGATGTGAGGGTGGTAACAATGTCATATCTAGCATGCATGCGCCCCTTATCACTCTGATCAGTAGTGCCGAGCCCGACCCAGCATAGTGGCAGTGCAGTGGCAATACGATGCGTATTCCATGGGCGCTCGTCAACGTCAACATCCCTACAGCCTACTCCCGTATAACCAATGTTCGTTAGCAATTTTGCAACGAAATTGATGCGTAATCCTGAAAATATAGTTTAAATGTCATAACAATTATTTCTTCTGATGAACTTCAGAATCACAATGCTTTGGAGTTTTTTTTATCAACTATGACTATTTATTTTTATTTTTAGATAGCCTAGGTATAAAAAAAATACTCCGGCCGTGCGCCCTCTGGCACCTCGCGCCCATAGGCCCGGGCCTACCGGGCCTATTGGGAAATCCGGCCCTGTCTAAAACTTTAGTGGAGCATTGATACTTAATGCTTTTAGCCTATTCATGTGTTGATGGTGGCAACCAGTAGGTCTACCCCGAAAGGTCTTGTTGTTAATGTATTGGTGATATTAATTAAGCATATAGGGCAAAAAAAGTCCTGGACAGTTTAATATTTCAAAAATAATTTTAACACATTGTTCAGTCGGAGACTCAGAGGACAATCTTAATTATTGTAGGTTGATATGCACATTAAATCAAAGGCATTTGTTACTAAAATACAATGCCGCGGCCGCGACCCGTACTCAACTGAACTGGACTATCAAATCAAAAGTTACAAGCCGTTCAAAGTTTTAGGCTACTTGTCCTCCTGAAGGGGAAGCGTGTTACTTAAAGTAGCTTTTATGCGCAATGACTTTGTACCCAGTTTTTATAGCATAGCCCTTTCTTTATCCTACCCTATACATTTCTTAAAAATAAATATTTATTTATAGTACAGGCAAGAGGCAATAAATTAAAAATAAGCATCAACCCAAGAATATGCCTACCTACTGAAATGTCTGGTCGGTTGAAACATTCATAGTAGGTTGATATGCACATTAAATCAAAGGCATTTGTTACTAAAATACAATGCCGCGGCCGCGACCCGTACTCAACTGAACTGGACTATCAAATCAAAAGTTACAAGCCGTTCAAAGTTTTAGGCTACTTGTCCTCCTGAAGGGGAAGCGTATCCTACCCTATACATTTCTTAAAAATAAATATTTATTTATAGTACAGGCAAGAGGCTAAATTAAAAATAAGCATCAACCCAAGAATATGCCTACCTACTGAAATGTCTGGTCGGTTGAAACATTCATAATTCTCACAAGAGACTGATTTAACTCATTTAAGTTAAAGTAAACAATCAGTAATTTTTGACATGCAGGTATACAATATCTCTATCAACAGACTTCATCTTCATTAATGCAGCATCTCAGTAATAAACCCTTAATTTCTTCTCTGGTTCTATATAATATTCTCTCTGAGACTATTGCCTTTATTTCCTAGCAGCCTTTTATTCTGCACCTTTAAATAGCCCCATTTTATTGTAGTATTCTCATCCCTTCCAACCTCTTCCTTTGTAGTTATTACTCCTTCCTTCAAGCTTCCTTGCTTGCTGCAGTTTTCTTCAAGATACCTTTTCCTGCATTCTCATGAAGGGGCAAAAAAGGATCCAAGACCTTTTTTGCCCTTAGATGGCTTTTTCAGGTTAATCATGGGTGGTTTGTTGGTTTCATCTTGTACCACCCATGTTACTTTTATCCCCTTGGGGTAGTTTGTTTCCTAGGCAATGCACCTCTACCTATTGCCACCTTTCCTGTACACAGTGTCTTGATTAGTATAATGCATTAGGAGTTTGAACATGAATAGTGGAGACTTCTTAGTTCCAACTAAACTAGAACCTGCCAGGTTTATTTTATGAAGGAATATTCTTGTAAGATTATACAGGGTGATTTGTACTCAGTGTGACAAAATTTTTTTTATGTAAGTACAAAGTAAATGAAGTGTGATGATGCATATCAAATGTTCCAAGTCTCAAAATTAGCGTCCCAAAAAATTATTTTATGTTTTTCAAAAATAACCATGCTTTTAAACTTAATACAGTGATTTCTCAATTACCTGTATATGGATTTCAGTAGATAATGTCATTTTCGTGTTCTACATTATCCATCCATCATTTTCTTTCCAACCATATGCTACACTATTGAGGTTTAGATATTTTTTTGTTTGTTTTAGTGGTTTGAATACCAGAAAACAGGGAACTTTTTTTACCGTTTTTACTGTTCAAGCTGAAACAAAAATACAACTTTTGCTTAATACATGCTGACTTTCTATGTTTTAAATGATAAAGGCCATGCTTTGTAGTCTTCAAACCATTAAAGCGTACATAAGCAGACATAAACCTCAATAGTGTAGCATATCGTTGGAAAGCTTATAAAATGGCGCAGTTTTTAACATATTCCGACACTTTCTTGTATACAGGGTGTAAAAAATGCAAAAGACCATTGTTTTTAAAATTTTTATCAAGCATCTTAATTTTTATCTTTGAATATATTTACAATGGAGTTTTTACAACTGATCCTCCGTCATTTTCTACTATTCTTGTTCAAAATTTAATGTAGAACATGAAAATGACATTATCTACTCAAATCCATATACAGGTAATTGAGAAATCGCTGTATTAAGTTTAAAAACATGGTTATTTTTGAAAAACATAAAATAATTTTTCGGGAAGCTAATTTTTAGACTTGGAACATTTGATATGCATCATCACACTTCATTTACTTTGTACTTACACCAAAAAAATTTTGTCACACTGAGTACAAATCACCCTGTATTTACTTGAAATGTTATGATTGGATAATGGCTAGATAATCGTTTTGTAAAATGCGAATAATGTAGATCTTAGCATTTTTATTTAGGTAACCCTTTTCAATTTTTGGTCACAATGAAAAGATAAAGAATATTAAATCTAGAGACATTAACTTTCATAGCCACCCATGTCATAACTTAAATTAATAAATAAATTTTCGATATAGGCCTTTACTCTGTATTTACTGTTTCACAGAACAGTGGTTTTGGTCCTTGTGACACTCTGTGCATGATACATATCTATTGTTAAATACTGTAGAATGCTTGTTTTGTCTAAGTTTTCCTAGGACATTATATACCTTTATGCATGTGATCTCGATCCATATCAATACCAACCTTCAGCTCCTTGTCCATCGGGTTGAATGTGGATGGGGCTTGGGCTTCTTCACCGCTCAAGTCCAGCAGTTCCATATCAAAGCTTTGGGACGAGGAGGCTAGAGACGGACCAGAGGAAGGTGCAGGGGGGTCTTGGGTGCTGATCGCTTCCTGATTAATCGATAACCACAGAGTTTGATTGGGATTGAACACAACACAACACATTGGGGAAGGAATTGATGCACTGCCTCCAGTGCCCTCTGTCGGCAATCAATTTTACTGAATTTGTAGACAGACTTTTACTCTAATTGTTATAGAAAGGAAACCTTATGTAATAAATTAATAATTCTTTAGCCATTTTGTTCACAGTAAATTTGTCTACAATAAAAGTGGTAATTGGATAGTCAAAACGCAAGATAAAAAAATAAAATTAGGCTATAAAGATTATAAAATTGAAAATTCGCAAAAATAAATGAGTAAATATGCAAAACAAGAAGCAAGATATATATAAACATCATAAAAGTAAGAAGAAAAAAAAAGGGGAAAATAATATTAATTAACACTAATACTGAAACCCCACCTAGGCTGACGTTAACCGAAACCCCCGGTCTGTGAGACCCCATTTGAAAAATAATTGACCCTGTTTAGAAACACACAAACCGAAACCCTCGGTCTGTGAGACCCCGCTTTAAAATACACTAACGTTTGGCTTCTGAGACGGACATGTTATGAACAGACAACCTGTCAAGGTCACGGCACCCATTCAAAATGAACACACGATATATCAATAGGTAGGGAAGAAAAAGGGGGGAAGGTATTGGGGGAATGGAATCTACCAAGTAAACAGTTTTGCCAACATGCGTTTTTGAAAATTCCCGTGGGCCTGTCAGACCGGGGTTTCGGTATTAGTGTTAAATAACTAGTGGGGCTGCGTAGCGGTGACACGAGCGGCACTCGTAAGTCAGCCGCTGGGCCTGCAGCGGCCGTACGAGTAATGATCGTAAGTCGGCGCCAACGGGTTAACTTATTTTATAAAGTATATAATATTAGTAAGATGACAAGACGGATATTTCTTTTTTGGCTTTTATTTTTTTTTAATACATGCCTACCCCATAAAAACAAAACATAAAACAAAATGTAAAAAATTACATTGATAGGTACCGGTACATAAATTGTTAATTATTTAGGGATTAAGTAACACAAATTTTGACACTTACTTGTATTGATTTTTATTTACAAAATACCAGATAAAATACACAAGACATATACATATAGTGATAAAAGCAAAGTTTTGAGTGCTTAGATTACGTAATCCAACTCGTATCGGATATATTGGTTCTTGGGGTCGTTGTGTATCCTAGGATATCCAGCTACAAGGGTATCCTGACCTCCGATGTACAAGGAGTTGTAAATCTTCCAGTAGACATCTCTGACTTTGCGAGCTGGGTGAAACAAACCCTGAAACAAATAAACAGCTGTCAGTGGGAAAGATCAGTGTTGCCAACTCAATGGTACAACATTCCACCACCGATGCTGACATAACAATAGAAAAAATGTTCATGACAATCTAGAAACCATTAAATATGATCAGAAGAAGTAAATCGGACATAAGGTTGGGCTGGCTTACCTTGAAAGTTGAACAAGGCTTGGTAGAAACATTTAGTTAAATTAGTATTTTTGAAACAAAACGACAGGTGGAAAAAATACACATTCCTCATTTTTATGAATAAAGTGCATAAAAACACAAGTAATAGTTCCCAGATAGCACAGTATAAGGAGATAGCAAAGAGGTGTGGCTAATGACACTAGTAAAAGAGGAATTTTTAAGATGAAGTGAGGTTTGAGTTTATAGAGCAGTACATGCAGTTACATGCAATAAACAGCTAGTTAGTAAGGAAAACAAATAATGTCAAAGTTGAACTATACAGAACGTAAACAAAACAGTTGTGCATTATTTATACAAAAAAATGTTGGTTTAGTTTTATGACCACCAAAAACATTATTTCCTGACAGTTCAAAAGAGATAAAGAAAGCTTCAAAGCCAAACAGTAAAACCCCAACTAACCGAAACAAAGGAGCCAAACAAAATTCAGTTACCAATATTATTAGTAATAAATTTTAATAACAGTAGTTTTGTATGTTAAGTGCTGTTGGCTGAAAATATACAAGTTTATACAAAAAATGTATTTTTTTAAATTAGAGATGCGCAAGTGCTCAAGGGGTTGATTATTAATTTATTTCAGTAATCGGCTTGACTAGAGTTTTTCAGGGAAACTTAAAGGGAAAGTTACTCAAGCTTTTACTAATAAAATTTATTAAATATGTTTGATGGAAGCGTTTTGTATTTGTATTTAAAATAGCGTTTACTTAAATAAGAACTTTACTCTTACCTGCAATGTATACTGAAGTATCTTCATGGGTCCAAGAGCAACTCTGAGTCCCTCTATGGAGTCCATGAAGGCTTGTACCAAGTGAGGCGAAGTCTCAAATATGTTGGGCCAGACGTGATTGAGCAGATGGATGAGAGCGTCTTCACAGCCAAACCCGTACACTCCCAGCGCCATGTGCTTGATGGCAGCACATGCCGTCTGTCTGTGTACCAAGTCCCTGCAAACACACACTATACTGAGTATCCAGTGTCCCATGAGGATACAATTCAAAAACAAATCCAAGTTTTTCAGGATCTAAATTCAAAATTTTCACATCACAGCTTGTTGCTAAAAAAAAGAAACTGATCTAGATTTGTACGTACTATCAATTTTAAAAGTGTGCACAGAACCTAAATTAACTTAAAGAATTATTAAAATTTTAATTATACAACAATTTTGAAACTATAAAAACCAACAAAATGTTTCGACAAAATATAACAATTAACAGACATTTCTTATTCTTATCTAAGTATTGGTTACAAAATAAAACTACTGGTTGCAAAATATGTATAAAAATAAATCAAAAGATGAAATAAACCAAAAAATCAAATTGACAGGTGAACACACGTTCTGCATTGTAGGCCTGCATAGATTTGTTCATTGATGTATAAATTTTATAAATAAAAAAATTGGATTGTAAAAGTGTTAAAAAACTGTAAGACACTACCGGTAGGTGCTTATATTCTACTTATACCCAATTTCCCTAAAAGTTTGTTTCCCAAAATCAATAAGAAGGATCATATTGAATTTTACCCATTTAAAAGTTTAAAAAAAGAGTAATCTACTCTACCTGTCCATGAGTGCGTCTTCCAAAAGTGGGGTGACAGCGTAGATATAGTCTTTTCCCATCTCACCGATGTACTCAAACAAAAACGAGAGACTCTTGAGCACTCCGTTCTGCACGTTGAGTTCTGGCACTCGGTACTCGTTCATGAGCGCCGGCAGTACAGTGAAGGGAGAACAGGTCTCCGCTACGATGGCAATAGCAACTGTTGTACACACTCTGTTTTGCCTTTCTTGGACTTTCAGGTTGTTGAGTAGAGTTGCCAACACATCGTGGGGCCTGAGGATGCATCACAATAAAGTTATCAGTTCTTAATATCTATTAGAGTTTAAAGGAAAGCAGTGGTTAGTTAGGAAGAGTTCAGCTAGCTTACCTGAGAAAATCCACATTGAAATAAAATATCTCTTTTCAATCTACTCTTTAAAGTTCTATAATATTAGGATGAAATGAAATATCAGAGATATGTTTTCGCTTTGTAATTGCTTGTGCATCTACTTGCCACTGGACTCTCTATCAGTTACGGTAAGTTTGCTGAATTCAATACCTAATTCTCTTAAAAACAATTCCTTATTCTACTTGTATTGTTATTTTTTTAAGTTTAAAGGTTATATAATTATTTTATGTCTATTTAGAGTAGACAACCAAAATAAATTTGGTCAAATTAAAAAAACAAAACAAAATTTAATAACAACAAAACCCTTAGAGTAAAAAAATAAATATAGGATGGAGAGGACACAGCTAACTCACCTGATGAAAGGTTGCAGATGAGTCAAAGAACACATAAAATTTTATGATTTTATGTGTTCTTTGACTCATCTGCAACCTTTCAGAGTTAGCTGTGTCCTCTCCATCCTATATTTATTTATTTAATCCAAGCTAAATGCTTTTTCCTAAAAACATAACCTTAGAGTAAAAAAAGTAATAAAACAAATCCTGCTAACAAAAAGCCATTAGATAAGGTTTTGGAATTGAAAAAGGACAGTGAGAACCAAAACAGCCCCAATTAATAACACCGATTTGTTACATTAATTCTTCTACATACCCGATGGCCTTGGCGATGTAACCGAACGTGTTGACAGTGGCTCGTCTGATAGCCTTCTTGTGGGCTTTCAACAGTTCCAACAACTCAAAACAGATCCTCATCCATTCCCTGGCTGATACGTATTCTGGACCTCTGTCTGCGATGCGACCAACCAGGTCAATGCAGTTCTCTTGTACCTGGACAGCAAAAACCATAAGATCTGCTCTACAAATCAATTTGTTTTGTCTCTACAACATCCAACTGTTTTATTATATCTGTTTACAAGACATTTAACTGTTTGGGTAGCTGAGTGGTTATAGTGCTTCGCCTTTAAATCTGAAGGTAGTTGGTTTGATTATAAGCGAGATTGTTGCCAGTCCCAGATGCCATTTGTCAATGGGCATTCAATTAATGATTCAATCTTTAAAAAAATATCAGTATCAGATAGTAACATGACCAGGGTTGTACCTTTCCCTTATATAAACGTTATAAACATTCCACTTGTTTAGAAAAAAAAGAAAAAAAAAATACTTTACTACTCATCATATTTTGTAAATAATTTTGTAAATATTATTTCTTAAAAGAACAAAAATTAAGACTATGTCAAAAAATGACATTAATGTCAGGTAATGCAGAAGTATTGAATATTGAATCCAATAAATAGCCAGAGAAAATGTTTAAGAGACCAGATTCATATGAAATTTTACCTTCTCGTGTCTGTTCTTCAGAATGGGTGTCAGTCTAGGTAGCAGGTCCTTGATGGGAGGTGTCATCTTAGTCATACCTATGACATTGACTATAGCCTTGAGAGCCCCAAGAATACTACCCAGCACCTCAGGGTATTCTTCTCCTAGATACTCATACAATACAACTCCCAAGTGTCCCATCAGCTTCTCCTACAAAATACAAAGAGTTAAATAACTACTATTTTCAACCCCAACATTGTGGTAGTAATTCCACAATAAGTATGCTGTTTAGTTAGATTTCTTAGCAAGTCCAGGATATATTGAACAAATTTACAAGACATCACTTAAGGTTTGTGATGATTTAATTTACCTGAAAAAAATCAACATAACAAAATTGGTGATAATTATAGATGACATTAACTTTGAATAGAACAAGTAGACCTAACATCCTGTTGTAAAATCTGGGGCTTGTTTTAATGTGTGCTTGTGATTGTGGCGTTTAAACACCAGTGTCTGTTTTATGATTTGTGCATTTCTCTTTGATAATACCATAGAATAAATATAGACTGTCAAAGGAAGGTTCCGACGCCCACCGCTAGGTTTGCCGTGTAGTTACGGCGCACACCGCTGCAGGCGAGGAGTGCAGGAGCCATATGCGACCAGCAGACGCTGCAGCTATGTGCGCCGTAACTACACGGCAAACCTAGCGGTGGACGCCAGAACTTATGCTAACCGCAGCACAGCTGACGGTCTATATTTTTTCCATTTGTCTATGGTAATACATACTAAAATAGGACAAGCAATGGTTTTAAAAAGATAAAAACAAGAAATAGTTAAAAACAAACCTTGCAAATAAGACGGAACAAAAATTCATGTTATCTTCACCAGATCAATAAGGATGATGAATCTCTAAGAAGTATGTTAAATCTATACTTATAATTATTATAACTATATTTTCAGATTATCATTGAAGTGACGTAGGCTATATTTTTTCTGTAATCAAAATATAATTAATTGTACTAGGCTATGGTCAGATAACCTTGAGAACAAAAGGGCTATGCAATGGTTTGAGAACAAAAACAATGAGAACTGCTAGGCATTAATATTATAATTGTTCAATATTATAAAATAAAAATAAAAAGTAAAATGGTGAGATCACATTTTATAAAATTTAGTGCCATTTAAATGACTTAGATTTTCTGGCTCTGGCTTGAACAAATTCTGAGTTGACTTTGTTAATAATTTTCATAGTATTCAACATACTCTTTCACCCCAATGCCAGTTAGGGAGAAATACTGTTTGACCCAGTTACATCAAGAACAGAAATGAGTAGTAACAATTTATTCTAATGGGGATCTATTTAACTAGTTAGTTACATAAGCACCTAATCGTAGTGAGGTGTTTCAATACGTGACAACAACTGATCACACACCATTTACCATAACCTTAATTATATTTTGAATATAGAACGAAGGTGGTGTAGCAAGGTAAGGAGTTTTTATGGGCCAAAACTGGCTGCTCAAAAAAAGACATTAACTTTTTGTGCCAACTAGTACATTAAAAAGCGTTCAAAGAGCCTTCATTGAAACCAATTCGAGAAGAATAAAAGTAAAAACCATCTTAGACTTAAGTTCTTTTGGTTAAGATTATTCAAATTAAAAACTAGCCATGAAAAAATTTTCAAACAAAGTTTTCAAAAATCATGTATACCTGGTTTCCAGGTTGGCTGTACACCCTGGTTGGTTATTGAAAATGTCAAGAGTGACACAGAAATATTCCAAATATTTTGTAAATTGAATGGCTTTTGTGGTTCTTGTGCCAAGACGTTGCACTTACCTCCTGACATGTCTTCATGACAACAGCTATACGAGAGATGAGGTCGGCCGCTTGTTGTCGCACCTTGGCACTCTTGTTGTTGAGTCGCCACAGGATCGTACCACAGATCTGAGGCAGGTAAGGTTTGACTCGCTTGCCCAGCTGGTTCACTATGGTGCCAAAGCCATTCAACATCACTGCGTCCTGAGAACAAACAAGACAAGTCGTTATAACAATAAATTACAAAACTGCGTAGACATAATAACAAACAAGACAAGTCGTTATAACAATAAATTACAAAACTGCGTAGACATAATAACATAACTGTGGTATCTGAAGACAAATTGGTGAACTGTTCCAACCAGGACTGTATTCAGAACCTTAACCATTCGTTGCTAGATTTTTCACACCGTTTCCTGACCGTAGTGAGTAGAACATGCATTGTTTTCAAATGTTTAAACAATAAAATGTTGATCCTAATGGAAGGTTATGAACCCTTTAGAGATCCATTTTGTTGTGAGTCGTCTATGGACCTATAATTTCAGTTGATAGCCCATAGATATTTTAAAATATATTTTGATGAGAAAATTATAAATTTAACTATGACTAGCACCAACACTTATGGTGAACAGCCAAGGGCAAAACAAGGGATAATTTTACAAAATTTGAAAAATTACAGGAAATGGCAGGGCCCATCCGGCATTTAAAAAATCCTACCTTGAAAGGTTAAGTTGGGAATGGGAAGTCAGAAATGAATAATAATAATAATAAATCTTTATTTCTCCACAAGTAATACAATAAAATTACAAAGATCTATCAAAACAAATTATTTTACAATGTAATCAAAACTTATTGTTAATTAATTAAATAAAAACAGTTTGCTTTAACTTGCGAAGAAATATACACACCCAAAGAAGATTAAAACTTCTGTGTGTGGGCGGGAGTCTCAACTAATATTTAACAATAACAAAAAATTCTCTGAAAAGGGTAACAAAATGAATTATAAATTAAATTTACCTTTAGTCCAATAACTTTTGTGGAAAAGACAACAAAGAAAACAAAATTCACCAATATCTAGGAAGTAAAACGAAAAGTATGTAGGCTAACTATAATAATGAGAACATTTTAAGAAATTGAAGGAAACAATGAATAGTTTTACCTCAGTGGTCTGCTCCTGGAAGGCGTACAGTATGCCGTCAATGAGTTGCTCCTCCAACCTAGAGTCTATGTCTGCTGCTCCAAGGTTGGCCATGGTCTTCTCTATACTCTCCATCACCATCTTGCGGTATTGCTCGTTCTCATCCTTCAAGTCGTCCACCACTCTGTTGATGATCTCTGAGGCCCCGACCTTGTTGGCTATCTCTACTGTGGTGTCCACCAACTGCAACATAACATGTACTGTACTTGTATCTAGGCATGTTCAGGACAGTAAAATACATGACTTTTGGGGATTGTAATTGTCTGCAGTTTGCATAAAAATATGGCAACACCTTTGCATTAGAAGAATACATGGACAAAGTTCAGTGATATGGATATTAAAAGATATATCACAACAAAATCACTTGGATTTGTACTCCAGTAAATGTATCTAGCCATTCAAATATAGGCAGGTTACCTGTCTGTAGTTACGTCTGTCTAGGGCCATGCGGTGGTTCCAGAAGTGTTTGAAAAAGTGAGGCAAGATCTCATCCTTGATGTACTGAGACTCCACACCATCAGTGCCACAACATTGCTTCACTACCTGCAAAACACATTACACATTAGAAAAGTGACAAAGTGGAGGACATGATGGTTGTCCAGACAAGAGACGGAAGGAAGTATACAAACACAAGGGTATGGTAAGTAGAGAATCAGTGAAGATTTGGAGATCAGAATTGGCAAACAGTTAACAAAACCAAAAGTTGACATTGGTCATAAATAAGTATATGTAAATAAGCATAAAAGCATACCACATAAATAAGCATAAGTGGTATTTAAATAAGTTATGACGCCACTGTCAATAATGAAGTGTGTATATTTACCGAGGTAGCTTTATTTACCTTGTATTAGCAAACAAAAAGGGGAGGGAACGTTATATCTTGTGTTTCTTTGTCTCCCCTGTGTTATGGTTTGAAATAATACCACTCATCTTAATACTTAATACTCCTCTGAAACAGGTTCTTTGAGGTTATGTCGCAAAGTATAGATAGTGTTCTATCTTTTCATTTCAATCTTCTCTAGGCAAAAACCAAATTTTTTGTGAGTATATAATGTGATTGTTATGAAATTATAGTTTGGTGCCTGAATTAGTTCTAGTTCTATCTTAGAAGAGATACATCTGTTTAAACCTATGACATATCCTAAGAAATTTCTCTAAATTAAATTGAGAGGTCAAAGATAACATACATTAACCTGTTAGTATGAGTAAAATAAGCACAAATTGTATGCCAAAAGTTGGCGCCTTTTAATGTAGGTACCTTTAAATGTGCGTAATGAATAAATATTCCAAGACTTTGATGATACCATCCTCATTCAATGTAAGTATTTTGCAAATGCTTACCTTCAAGACAATCTTCTTCATTTCCTCGTCGGGAGATTGAAACTCTCTGATCAAGATCAACATCACTTCTCTGGTATAGTAGTTGGCGTATTCTGCATCCATCAATGGGATCAGGTAACCAATGGCTTTCAAGAAGGCAGCCAAACCCTGGACAACAAAACATTAACGATTAGAAATCCCTAACAAAACGTTACTCAAATTCTTTCTTTTATTATGTAAATAATTTTTTTGATTATTGAATCTATTTTAAAACATTGCTTCTGTGTAGGACTGCAGCATTGAATTAAGTAGGTTTTAATAGCACATTCTTTTATTAACGGTTTCATTTTTCACTAATTTAAATTAATTGCTTTAAATAAAAATGTAGGACTGCAGTGAAAGTGAAATATTCAGTAGCACATGATGTTACACTAGCTCAACAAATGGCGGGTTGGATTGAAAGTGAGAATTTTTATGAGTGTACAATAGCTTTCAATTCCCAAATATACATCCCCACATACATATCCCTGGGGGAGGTACAATATTTGGGAAATCTATATAGATTTAATCAGCCTTGCTAGGATTTAATCTACACATGTGATATGAAATTTTGGAGAAAATTGCTTATCTAAATGTTATCAAGAAATAAAACATCTAATTCAACTACTGAAACAGGATGAGCAGTGAGAACTAATAGAAACTTTTAGGCAGATTTTCTTAATCCCCCAGCCAAATACCGCTGAATTTTTGGCGACACTTTAAGACTCTTCACACAAAGACTAAGCACAGTCGTTTTCTTAGCTTTTGAATTTGGCAGGGACTGTACCGCAAAAAACAAAAGCATCAAACACTTGCTCGACATTCAAATCTCCACAGTCCTAATTGGCAGCTTAAAAACTTGCATTTTGATAAGAATTTCTATCTTAAGAACACTCTTTTATTACCCCTCAGTATAGGCTAACTTTTGTAATATATCTGGTCTATTGTGTTTAGTTATCAAATCAAATCAAATCTATTTCCACAATAAATATACAAACAAAATATCAATCGTATACCATAATTAGATTACGTACCTTTCCTCGATGAGTCCTGATACCCTTCCACAGAGGTTTGAGTACAGAGTCAAAGCTCTCAATACCGTACGGTGTAGCAGCCTCTGCTAAAGCAGCGATGGCCAGAGCAGTGATTGTCCGCACCTTCTGTTGCTCATCCACCAACCCGTGCTCTATAATCTCCACCAGACTCTTGAGGTGGGGCAAGATAGCGCAACCCATCAGAATGGCTATCTGCTGTACAATCTTGATACCTGTGACAACACCAGTAAGTTAGTTAGTAAACATAAACAATTTGAAAGAGGTACGAGAGTTAGGATTTTGAGATACATTTGGGAAAGCAGGTTAAGAATGGAAAATAGTTGTTAGCACAGTTCTTCGACCTTTTAAAAACAGAAGCAGGTAACTTGACAGATCATTTCCACTAACACTTTGGTCTCTTGTTTTAATTCATTTTGCCTCTTTTTATGGTATATTAAGTAGTCTTATCCCTATTTCATTTATTCTCACATTATTTTATTACTTTTTTATTTCTTGTTAAAATAACTACTTAATGCTCTTTTTAGACCCCCTTAAAGTTATTTTTGCTAAATAGTAATTTAATCACCTCCCCCACCCAAAATTACATCTCATGTAATTTTTTGTCAAGCACTGGTATTAATAAAAAAATTAACGTAAAAATTAAATTACAAAAGAGTTTTTGCGTCCAATATAATTTTAATGCCAGATTTTTCTCATGACTAACCTGTGTGTCTGGCTTGCCAGGACTTCTTGCTACGACACACTGCCTTGAGGAAGGGCAGCAGTGAGGGTATGCCTAGAGCGGACGCTACCACAGCGAAGGCCCTGGCTGTGGTGTTACGCACATACTCGTCTATGTTGTCAATGTCAGGTCGCATAGTAGAGATCATGGTGGCCAGCCCAGCAGCCTTGGCCAAGTTGGAGATGATCTCTCGACCTTCCACACGAGCGTAGTAGTCTTCGTCAATCAGCAGTGGTTCTATCACCACCAGAATCTGCAAACAAATTGTGTTGATGCAGAACATTTTTTGAGTGTGTAAGCATATCTTCTTTTAATATGATCACTATCTACATATTTCCCATTGTTATCAAAGATTATTATACTGACGATTTCACAAGTTTTTAAGTTTTTACTAGGATGAAATATCAGTGTTATTTGTGTGGTCAACTGTGAATCAAGGTGTCCAGCATATGAAGGACTGCTTTCTATGTTTACAATTCAAGATTTCCCAGTTAAAACTATAATAATAGGCTAATAATTCTATTGTTGGTGTCGAGGACAATAGTTATTAGTGATTATCAAACCCTGGAATTTGTTATCACAGACTTAATTATAAAATCTTAAGGTTTATAAAATTTTTAACAAAATAATTGAATCTTCAGTCCAAATAAATTCTCACAGTTTTTTGATATTTTGAGTCAATAGTAAAAGTGTTAACATCAGAATTGCTGTACCGTCATCATCATCATCTTCCCACAATTGCGACAACATTAAGCATCTACTTAATGAGTTTTCGCTCACATCAACCCTGTCTATACCACACAAGCTTCAACACCCACCTTGTGTACGTAGGGTCGCACCAAATCGTCCAGCTTGTACAATATCCTGTCTATAACCTTGACTAGCAAATGTCTCTCTTGGTCCTCTAATGTTGGAGACATCAAAAGGGGCAAAATCTGGTTGAACAGTGGTCCGGCACCAAACTCCCTAGCCTTGTCGGTGATCTGTCGCAAAGCTGCCTTGCGCATTGGCGGCGTCCCATTCTTTATCTTCAGCAGCAACTTCATGATCTTACGTTCCTTCTGCTCCTCAGGGCTCAGCGACTCTTCGTCAACGTCCACCTGTGAAAGGTACGAGATTAACTTCTACGAAAAGGTAAGTGTGAGTTGATGATCAGAATAAAGCTATGGAACAGTTAAAAATTCATAATAAATTACAGGAGACCACATTTCAAATCCTGACATTATTTGGCATACATGATTTCTGGTTTTAAGGATTTCTTGGAAGGATGAACAGCAGGCTTTCTTTTCTGAGGAAAGTAGTTGAAAGTACACATGAAACATCAAATTTTAAAAAGTACTAGCTCTTTTTCCAGCTGTTGATGTTTTGTTTTCTTTTAGTCTGTTATCTTTCTACAAAAAATTGAATAAAATGTTAAATTAAGTTTTGAAGTTCTTTAATAACACGACAGCTTCTTGGTTTAAGAAATATAAATTTATTTATGTTCAAACAATACACTGCTACAGCTTTAAATTATAAAAATGAAAAAAGGAAAAAATTTAAATATTATTATTAGGCCTACATAGTTTATTTGAAATCATTGGTAACACAGAGGGTTCTCTCTTGAGTGGATAATTTCGGTCCAGACCTTTGTATGAATTATAAGAGGTTTGAACCATTAATGTTAATAGTCCAATGAAGAATTACGTTTCAAAACCACACTGTGTGTGCTAATTGAGTAAACACGCAATAAAGGAATAAATATCAAATGTAAATATACAAAACAGCAATAGACGTACAAATTTTGACTTATGTGGCTATAAAAAGAACATGCAAGTTTGTGAGTCAAACCACCTAATAAGCCACCTAGAATACGAAACAAAATAATCCAGTGAGAGTAGTCTATTGTAAACATATTAGGCCTAAACTAACACCCGCATTGATTGAGACTATTTATAACAAACCTAGCCTATTACAGGGAAGGAAAACATTTAAGAAACCAACCAACAACTTGTCGAAGTACTGAGCATCCTCGGGTTTGAGAAACGGTAGGTTCCCTTTCGGCTGATTGTCTACATATTTGGCAGACTTGTCCTCTGTCTGCATGAAGAATCCAGTAGGAGTGCCAGCTATAGGGGTGGGAGTGGCAGTCAACTTCCTCGCTGGGGTGCGGATGGGGATGTAACCTGAAAAAAACAAACATTTAACATTGAAAATACTGAGAGGAGGTATTTTAGGTTTTGCCAGGTAGCAAGAATTCTTAAGTTTTCAATAAAAAACTTTTAATTAAGAAAAAAATTATTGGTACATGATAATCTGTGGGTAAATTAGTGCTTTAAATAATAGCCTACATCAACATCTGCTACTTAAGGTCAGTATTTTTTTCTACATATAATCTACTGCGTAGCCTAAGGCTGGTAAGGTCACCAAATTAAAATAATAACTGCACAGGTTCCGTTAGAAAGTATTTCGACAGATTTTTAAACCTGAGCTCAAATTAAGAGTGATATTAAATTAGGTTTTGAATAAAGTATGTTGGACAAATATTTTGATTCTTCAAGTTCTATCTGTACAAGTAAGTGATAACTTGTTGGTAGAGTATTTACCTGCAGGAGGTTGAAGGACCTTGTAGCCAGGTGGGAACATAGTGTCAAGTTCATCATCAGTCAAAGGTCTGTTCCTCTCATCAATCTCTCTCTCCCAGCGATATGCTTGCAGCTGCTCTGGTGTCATTGTCAGTAGATGACCTTCACACAACATACAACATTACAGTAGTTTACTCGGGTTGCTTGTAAAGCTATTGATTTATTAAAACGTGACCACCACCACATTATTGTAAAACTCAACATTTTCAGCAGTGAGGGAATGTAAAATCATCTGCGGTCACATTAGATCATAATGTATTTTGCGGTCACAGCAAAATTAAGAACATCTTCCATGGTCAGAGGAACTCATGAACATATTCCATGGTCACCTCGACATCATAATCTCCCACGATAGCGGCAAAACCAGCAATATCACATGGAATGGCGGCGCTGTGAATCATCACATACACTTTTGACCCTCACACAAATAAAAGCTCGGCTTGGTTCAATTTGAACTGAGTTTGACCCAAAATTTTTTTTGACCCAAACTTATCCATTGCGCCAATTATTGGTCTGACCCAAAAAAAGGGGCAGACCCCTAGACTGAATAAAGAAGTTAGTAGTTGTTATGAGTTGTAGTAAAGTTATCAGACCAGAACTGGAGATATTTTTACAAAAAAGGTCAGTAAGGATGGCTTATTTGTTATTAATGGCAAAATATCTTATTCCACTTATTTATTGTTGGCTAAATCATAAAACCTAGTTTTTTCAAGACATGATTTTATCCGAGGCTCCTAATCTAGTGTTAAGGCAAGTAGAAACACTCTCTAGAACAAATGGTATTTCACCTAAAACAGTAGGCCTACAAGTATTGTAGACTCGTGAAACATCACCAAAGTATATAGTTAATGTTAATATCTACCTGGTGTAGGGGTGGCCATAGCCATCGCCTTCTGTCCCGTAGGAGTGACTCCGCTGGGTGTCATGAGAGGAGTGGAGGGGTGAGGAGTCACTGGTGTAGCGGCGCCGGGTGTCATCTGACTTGATGGTGTCTCGTCCCAGCGACTGCGCCGCTTACTAGCACCAGGTGTGGGGGTCTCTTGTATGAGGTCACCTCCACCACTACGCTCTGTGCGAGGTGTCTCGGCCCACCCACTCTGGCCTGGCGTCTCTGTACCAAACATAGAAAACTCTTTAAATAGTATCTAACAACTAGGGATACTCAGGACTTAAAACTTCAATTAAAGATTCTCCCGTCCTATATTTCCTTTTTAAATAAAATTTGTTTTAGTGTTTACGTTTTTACGTACGAAGAAACTGAGTAGTGAAACACTGTAATAACAAGTTATGTATTTAACAGGCCATTAAAAGTGACCAAAGCTGAGTAAAACACTAAATAGCAATGTTCCAAAGTCTGAAAGTTGGGATAATCAAGTGTGAATGTAGCTCAAGTATATCTTCTATATAATCAATAATAATAATAATCAATAATCAATCAATAAGATGGGGACGCCACTTAGGTGACAGATTATATGACAGATAAGACATCACAACTTCAAATTGAATAAGTTTTAGTTAGAACCAAGACATAACTTCACTGATACATTTGATTTATTTTGTAAAGCAGAACCGTCAACACAAGTCAAGAGAATTCATATACGGTACAAATTAATTTCTGTAAACAATCTTCAAACATAAATGTTACATGATTACCTCGCTCAGTTTTGGGTGTCTCGTCCCAGCGGTTACGTCTACTGGAGGCCATTTTGTCGTGAGAGGGCGTCTCCCGTCCAGGAGTAGCGTGTCCGGGTGTGGCATGTCCGGGTGTAGCATCCCACATCCGGGTGCTGGCGCCTGGTGTAGCACCCGGAGTCTCCCCACCCTTGCCGTGGCCTGGCGTCTCGTCCCAACGTGTTGTGGCAGGAGTTGCCTGAATATATGAAAAATTGTTAAAATAACCAAATCAGATATGAAAGCTGATAATAGTTATTTCAATAAGACTTATTAATGCCATCAAACTTATTGGAACAATGTTCTTGAATTAATTCTTTGAAGGAAACATAGAGATTGATACATAACAGCAATTATTTTTTTAAATTATTTATGATTAAATAGCTTCAGACCTGGAAATAAATCAAGTTGCTGGTAACAATACCCCCGCCGCAGCAAACCATGTAACAATGATTGAATTACTTCAAACTAGGCCTAGAGGATCTTAACATTATCAATGACAGAATCCATTGACGATTAGCGGGATTTGAACCTGGGGCCTGCACTATCTACTATTAGACGAGCAAGTGTACTCACATCCTCTTTGTCCCAGGGTGAGTCAGTAGGCAATTTGTTCTTCTTGGGTGCGGAAGGTGTAGAGTCCCCGTCAGCCGTCTGATCCCAGCGACCTCTCTTCTTAGGCGCAGGCTTGGAGTCTCCGTTGGCTACAGGCTTTAGTGTTCCTTCCTTGGCCTTCTCTACCAGCTTCTTGCGCAACTGTAGGCAGATTGTCGTGTTAGCAACATTTAGTTAAAATCCTAATCATTTTTCATTTGAGAGTATAATACAGTGTAGTTCAGATTGCGATTATTAATAGAATAATATTTCATTGTTATTAAACTAAACACACACCAATAGACAGCATTATAAAAAAGAATGGTATAAACCTAAAACAAATTACCAGTATGAAAAAAGTTCAATGAACTTAAATAAATACCATTACCGGTATCTACTACCATTTCTATAAACCAAAGAAGTCATTGTTCATAAAAAATGTCAAGTGAGTGGCTTTATTGATTAGCCACTTTGACATGCAAGTTTTCAAGCATATCATATCTGTAATAAATTGGAAACAGCTGTTATAGTAGTTTGCACAACAGTTGCATAATGATAGTATTAACGACACAAGTGGAAATCCTTGGTGAGTGCCTTAAAAACTTCTACGATTCTTGTTAAGACTATTTACTCAAGTTGCACACACTACTTTACCTACGACCGTTTTTTAATTGCCAACAATCACTACTCACAACTTCTAAGAGAGGCTATGTTTTCATTTTACAACCCCTTATTGCCACCGAGAGTAATGCAACGACTCATTATAATTGTACCAAACACTAATTGTGACACTCATTAACATTTTAATTGATCTAAACAGCTGATTTGTTTAAGTTCGAAGCATTACAATCTCATTGGTCCATTAATCGTGTTGTTAAGTAAAACAACGCTCTTAGTCTTAAGTGAATCTTTTCAATTCTAAGAGCTGAAGTGAAACGGCTAGATAAAAAAAAAACGGTCGTAGGTTAATAGTATTTTACGTTTATGTTATAAACAAAACAAATAATGTTATGTTGTTGTGTGATTAAATGAATTACCAAACTTACCTCAGATTCTTCGCCTCGAAGCAACTGTTCTCGCATGATCTCTGTATAAGTTCGGGAACCCACATCAGGAGTTTTGGCCCCTAAAACCATACAAAACCATAGATTAGACAAGTGCAATGACTGCAAACACAGTAGGACTGGTGTGTTATGGATTGTGTAGTATCTGTTCTTAATCATAAGTTACTAAACAGAATACACAAGTTTTCAGACAATAGAGAAAAACATTTCAATAGTCAAGTATAAAGATTGCATATAACAGGGAAGGATAGAAAAACAGACAGAAAAAGTTGGTTTCTATTGTCCAAGCAGAGATTCTGTAGAAACTAAATATGTTAATCTTCGTAACTATCAGAGAATATTATATAGAAGTTAATGAGTTTAACAAGAAAGGTAATTCTGTAAACAAATAGTACTAAAAGATTAAATTCCAGTATAAAAACAAGGTGTTTGGAGATGGAGAAATTCGCAACATAGTAAAAAATTCACAGTTATTAAGAAAAAAATACACTTTTTTAAATTACTGAATTGTCTGAAAACTTGGCCAACAATACTTGTACCTCACTGAAGGCATTTAACATTCCAAGTTTGAAATTTTTAAAGCTGAATTGCTATTTAGGAACTATAAACCTAGTTAAATAGGAATACTTGAAATAATAATAATATTAATAATTAATTGTCAATTGAGGATCAGTGGTGGTTTTGAGTAGTAAATACACAGGTGTGAGTATAAACTCTGGTAGGCCCTACTTATTTCAGTACAACCTCGTTGTCAGCCCCTTTTAAATTGGATCTTCAGAAAAACTAGATTGGCTTGTAATGAATAAACATAAATTAATATAATATTTGCATTTGGTAGCGCTACTACTTTATATTCCGCCATTTTCGCACAATCAAGTTTGTTTGCCATGTATGTACATCTGATGCTTGACAGTAGCGTTTGTACTTAGGCGACGAGTCATGGTCAGTTTGTGATGTTTTGTTGTGATGTGGGATGTGTTTTTGAGCGTTTAGCTCCATAATAAATAAAAGAAATTATAGTAAGTTAAATTGTTTTTTTTTAGCTTTTTCCTCTTTCTTTGGCTCACAGATTTTCATTATGTCTGATCTGACAACAAGGTTGTACTGTACTCATGAATTTTTAAAATTAAGGATCTACAACAAACTTTAAAAACAATAGGAATACTGGTTGGCGACAATGTTGTAGTGAAGTTTTAGTTTGGTTGTGAAAGCTGATGATTTATTAAAAAAAAAGATATATAAAAATATTGTAGACAATACAATGAGATGGAGCTAGTGACCAATCCACAGCTGCCAGCGTTATCTGACAAAAGTGTAAATCAAAAATGAAATTTCAAAGGCCTGACATCCAAGAATTATTTTTGGCAGGGTTTTTATATTTTGACTTTTTGAATGTGAGAATCCTGAGATATGAATGCAATCATGGAAGCTCTTTGCGAAGTTTGTGCAATTGAAAATTTAAGAGGTTACAATGATAGAAGGTTTTGGAATCGTTTTTGATTCCAAAGTAACTTAATATTGGGAATCGACAATCCTGTGATACCACTGTATCAAGTTTTGAGGAATAACCAATTAAAATTTACCCAGCCCTATTTTAATGATCATCCGCAAAATATACTCAATCCAGATTTATTTTCAGTTGGAAAAATTCACGGCTAATTTACAGTTTTGACGATTTCACAGATAAATGAATGGTCTACAATACTTCAATTCAATTAACTGTTTGTGTTAATGTGTTAAAATACAGAATACACAGATTGTAAACAATTTGGTGAACAATTGATGTAGGTCAAATAGAATTTAGAATCTCGATGATGGTAAGACTCAGTGAGGCACAAGTATCGCAGAATGGAAGCCATTCAAGATACGTACGTGTGCCTCGTAGTCGGCAACTGACTGAGGTGGCGGCAATCCACTACGACACCTGAAATAAGCTGGGGTTCATTAATAATGTTCTTAGACCATTCACTCTCACTCTCATACTGCCCAGCCGGGTCCCACTACCTTACAACTATCTTCACACAATAGCTTAACTTACAACTAACTCTTAGCTGTTCTTAGCCTCTCACAAACACCGTGGATCTTCAGTTAAAACATACTGTTATATCTCAATGATTTACAAAAATTATTTGCAATATTTTAACTAAACAAAAGGTATGCCACTATCAAGGCGGGTTTTCCTAGCTGCCGAATACAACTGCGGGATTGTGAATAGGCTATTAAGTATGTTTTAGCCCCCTTTTTGGCAAGGACATTTTTCTAGATCTACGATATTCAATTACAGACTTGGTTTTGTAACATATTTTAGTAGTCTAGTGTAGGTACCTATAAACAACACAGGTGTATTGGGGAATCAAATTCAGCAGCCAGGAAAACCGGTAAGGATTGTATATTTCATCCTGTTGAGTTGATAATTTTCATAAAATGAATAAACGCATTGATCAGTTGTGTGTATAGTGCAACAAAATTTGCCATTATTGCTTATTTAATACAAATTTATTTCAATATAATTTAGTATGAAATCAATTTGAAATAAAATAATAATAAAAAAACCAATAACAAGTTTATAAAACCACACAGGGTTAAGAATAGTTTGAAGAAGGCATAAATAAAGCTCGAAGATAGATATGGAAAATGATCAAACTTGGAAAAAAAACAGATGTGGATGAAGACAAAACTTTAATTAATGGGTGTGGAAAAGATAAACTTGAAAATAATTATCTTGAATCAATTATGTTATTCAGTTCCTAAGCATGGGTGCAAACTTTTACCTAAAATGTCAACAGAGAATATTAAAATGTCAAGATGAGCTGTATTTGCATTGCAACAATCTCTAAATGTATAAATATCGAATGCTGCTAGTGGGAAAGATTTTTTATTCTACAACAGCAGTACAATGGAAATACAAACAATTTCTTTCAACCACAGCCGAGTTGTTTTTCTTGTTTTAATACATAGTAAAGAAAGGTTTTTAATTGAGCTCTAACTTGAAAATTACTTTCTTAGCTTTTTTAACTTGAGGAAAAAAATGTTTACTCATTTCCATTAGACATAAAAAAAGTGATTATTTTGTTTGAAGGATGGTATTTACTTAATTCAATTACTTGTGAGATGAAACAAGATTTTAATTTGTAAAGAGATTAATTGAATCTTTAATATATCTTTAATATTTATAGTCGAGACAGACTTACCTAACTTAAAGATCAATAATAATTGTTTGAAACTTAACATACCTACATGGCTTGCTTGGTTCTGATCTGTACTTTTTTCAGTTATAATTTAATTTTTTTGTTAATTTTTTTTTTTTTAGTTTTTAGTTTGGACCTGAAGTGTCCGAAGACAAGGGAGTAAATTGAATACTCAATACAATTTACCGTGTAGTACAGGTCGTAATGGAGATTGTCATTGTACTACCATTATTGAGAACATCCATGTTTACTATCTTTAGCCAACCGAAGGCCTACTCATAACCCGTGAGAAGGCGCTTAAGTACATTTGACTTACTTTAAGTTATACTTTTTTTACTTGCTAATTTTGGTGTTGTCTAGATTACTATCGTAGTAAAAAAAGTTAAAGTAAAAAAGCGTTTTGCAAATACAAACTTTAGGTTTTTGCGATGGCAAGTCTCCTTATGGACAGAGATGTCCTATGGACTCTGTACTACACGGTTAATGTAGCATGGAGCATAGGCTGTTATCCTTACATATTACTCCACACATTTGTCTGACTTAAAGTGTATCAAGACCCAACGTGCACCTTAACTAAATATAGTGGGACCACAGCTTCCCTAACCCCCCTCCCCCTCTCATGATGACTGATGATTCTTGAAATACAGAGCTTGAGATCCTTCTGTAAATGAAAATTAGATTAGAGAGAGTTAGACGGGATGCTTATACCATAGACCTATCACCTACACTTCCTTGCAAGAAAATGATTCATTAAAATAACGGTTGGTACTTAGAGATCTAGTAAAATCTCCCTGATAAGTTGTTAGTAGCCGTGAAGCGCAAGCCATATGGAACTTAAAAAAATTGCTAAGGCCTCTCCCATTGAGAAATCTCAATCAAAACTGTGATTATTTGAAATTAACAACAAAGCTGAGGTCAACAAAAAGTTTTTTTTTCAACTTTTTGTTTCATTCCTTTTTCAGATTTTATCTGAAGAAAAAATCAATCACAATCGCGGACATAATTCAATTCAAGATCACATGTTAAAACATTATTTTGGTGGAATCATTTTAGTGCAAAGGACACTTAAATTTATTTTAAATTAAGCCTACTGAATTATGTTTCACAAAATTTACAACATTCTTTAAGCATTCTTATTGTTACAGCCCATCTTAACAAATGTCAAGCTTAACTTACACAATTAGAGGCTGAATACACGATCACAGATAATATTAAAAACAAAAGGCTCTCATAGAATAATGCTACAATTAACAATAGTTAAGAATTTTTGTTTGCTAATAACTGCTCTTCTTTGAGTGACAAATTATCTTATTAAAAAAAAAAAAAAAACCTAACAGAAAGAATAACTTTATTTCCAACCAGCAAATTATTTCATGCCCAATTTACACTTTCTGTTAATGCTAAATAAGTATATATGAAAACAATCACTTGCTTTCTGTTATTAACTCTCCACAACTTAAATATTTTTAGGATTGGGTTTTCTGTAATTTTATTTTCTTAGGTTTTACAGCAACAATTGTTCTCGGCCAGTTTTGTAAAAAAATATAGGCTAAGTTAATAGTCTCAAAACTTTAGATTAAAAACTAGAACGTTGTGAACTGTCAACTGCCTCAAGTAAGTTGGTTGTTTCTATTTCTTCTTCTTTGTTTTATTTCTAAGCTAAATGCTCTTCTAAGTAAAAATGTATCAATGTAGTTTGGGTGCAGTGTGGTTAAACAATCAGTTACTGGGTAAACTATAACTTTATGCAATAAACTGTTAACTATTTGCACAAAAACTTTCCAAAAAGATTACAACTGCTTTTTGAAACTGAAGTCCTTCATTAGGCTATAATAAATACAAAGCTGTATCAGTTTGGAATTTGGATAAATCTTATTTAGAACAAATTTTTATTACATTAGAGCATCTTATATCTCATCCAAATTTTTCTCAAGTAGTGGCAGGGTGCACACCGGAGAAACCCGTTTCAGGAAATTGGATTCATCAAATTGGTTTCAAGGAAACCATTTCTTTAACAAATGCACACAGAAGAAACGGGATTCCATCAGTTTTGTGATATGAATTCGGATGATGAAGATGGTGGTGGTGGCTAAAGAAAATGAAAAGAAAGAAGTATTGGGTTCACCCGTTGGTTCGGGATGGTCAACACAGTACTTACATTGTAGCTCGTTAACTATGCAGTGATCCTGTCAAACTCTTTGATTTTTAGCATGCCAAAGCCTCTTTTTGAACGTTTTGTGGAATTACTTAACTCAATAATAACAAAGAAGGACACCAACCGGAGGTTAGCTCTGAGTGCTGAGGAAAAATAACAATACACTGAGTTAAGTCAATAAAACCAATAGAAACGTGAAACTGAAGCCTATACGAAATCTGTTTTTTGGATTTCATGTAAACCAGTTGCATGAAACAAATGAAATTACAGTTTCATGCAACACAGTGTGCACTGCCCTGTGTTAAACTAATGTATCTGTTGCAAGCAACTAAAGTTTCTCGTTTCATTAAATCGGTTTCCTGAAACGGATTTCTCCAGTGTGCACCCTGCCTTAGATATAAGCACATCCATTTCAGAAAAACAGGAGAAATATTCTCCGTTTTGACAATGCAAAAATCCATACACTTAAATCTGGTTGTTGTATGTAAATATCCGCAGTTGAAGGTGGAAAAGATTATTCATATTTAGTAACCCCGACGGTAGATAAGAGGCGTTCTACAGTAACAAAACTAGAAAATGTATAAGAAACATTTCAAGCTATTTTTACTGGATTTCTCGCAGATACTTATTTCTTTGTAAAACAACCTAAACAAAACTACAAGACCCTTTACCAACACTATCCGCAACAAATTACAAATAAGATGAAGCGATGGGTTTCTTCTACTTGGTCATCTTCTGGGGGAAGCGGAGAGAAGACTCGATAGACCCAAATGGAATAAACAAAATCCACATTAGTAATGTAAACAAACTAACGCATCCACACACACATTCAGCCTCACCCAGCATATAAATATGTAAATCCATCTATAGAACCACTGACATTGACAGCAAACTTTTCAGAATTCAACAATTTATTCTGCAAAAACTGTGCCATAGTGAAACAGATATAGTTACAATTAAGACGACTTTGCATTAACATTTACCAAAGGATATACACTGTCTGTACACTGAGCTTGAATAGTTGCAAACAAGGGAGAAGGAAATTTTAAAAATTTATCTTTTACAGTTCAAAACCATCAGAACCATTTCCAAAGAGTTTTTCAAAGGACAAAAACAAAGTTAAGTAACAGAAGTAGAAAAGCTTGATCACTAAATACTTTAAATTTATTATGAGTTCTGTGTAAAACAATATCAATCTAGGTTATCTAAAGTATTATGAATTTGTAAACTGTTAATTTCTTAACTAGAAATGTTAATATTACAGACCCGCTGAATTAATTAAGAATTATTTTTGATGATAGTAGGCCGATTCTATTTGATCACATATATGTAATTTGCAAAGATAATAGAAATCAAAATCAAAATAAGAGTTGAAACTTACATAACTCCAAATTTAAAATGGGAATATTAAACCTTGTTTGTATCAACCATGGAGAAAAATGGCTAAGGAGAAATGTAAGACCCACAACCAATATTTTAACTAAGTTTTAATACAACTGTGGCTTCAAACTGAAACATTCAAGTCCCTCATTACAATGTCAGTGGTTTAAAATGAGTTTTTTACAGAGTGATAACCATGATAAAAGGATGATACTGTAAAACATAAAATCTGACCTTCAGCAAAAGGATCAATACGTTCAGGAGAGATGATCATTCGCCTGCGTTTTTGTCTGTACTCGTCTTCTTTTTCCGCAGCCGTTTTCTGGCGCCTGTCAGCAAAAGGATCATAGTCTGATTCGCTCTGAAAAACATCAATTCAGATTGAGTACTAGAGCTGTGTACTTACATATCCTGAAAAAATCTCCTATGCAGCAAACTTGAGTTGAAACAAATTAGCTTTTGGGGGAATAACTTGCTAGGTGTAGCACTTTAAGCATCTCAAATATAAAGGGTCATAGATTAGGCCTAATGCAATATTGATTTTAAAAACTTATTCTAGACGTTATAGTTCATAAACATACCAACCATAGCAGTGTATAGGAGGGTTTTACCATTGAGTTTTGGATACTTAAGTAGACATCCTATCTAGCCTATTATGGACTAACTGTCGAACATTTTTTATTCACAAAGAACATGGTAAAATGAGTCAGTCAAAAGATTTGCTAGAGTCTAAATTATATTTTCAATTTTATTT